AACGACCAATGAATCGCTAAGTAATGAGACGTCTCATTGTCGATACTTTAACGGTTTGTTATAGGAGTATTTTCTGTCTCGTGCGATTTACGTACGATAACGCGTGGTGACAGAGAAATGAGTTTATCGGTCAATTAAATTACAGGTTTATTGCATGGCAAATATGATGAGGCTGCGGTGTCGCACGTCAAAATAACGCACGTGTGTACTGAAACTAAGACGTTGGTCTTACCATGTGTACTGTTTTATTTGAATTTTATGCATTCGTTTCATCAAGCACACCTACGCATCATCATTTCTAGCATGAATAAATCTAGTTGAAATTTATGATTAAAAACACTAAACATTTTTATGCAAGTAAAGCGACGTAGTTAGGCGTTTTATAATTATTCACGTTAAATATGTTTGTGGTGTCTAAAAAAAAAAAAAATGCTTACACAAAATGTGTAAGCTTTCTTTCGATAACGATGTACGATTTATCATACTCTATGTTACGATCCGTAATAAGTGCTAAAATGTCGATTTGTTTAAAAGTTTAAATAAACGTTGGTTAAGAATCATGAGTCGTAATATGCTCAACAACCCTTTTTCTGTAAAAGTTGTTGAAACGTGCGATGCAATCACGATTTAAATACGCGTCTATTCATGTTTACGTGTAAACTCGTCAAATATAGTATAAATCGGTTCGCCGTAGTATTATGTATTTTTGTGTAGTACAGTACGTACAGTCGCGACTGTATGTACGTACGGTTGGTGCGTGTGCGTGCGGTCGAGAGTATGTGTGCGTGCGTTTATTTTTAGAGCCAATCTTGTGGGGTTAGCCAGTTTATATGCTTGCCCCAGATGCTATTGATATAAGGGCTGTTTTAGTTTATAATAAAAGAAAAAAAAAGTCATGAACATACTTTGTACTTCCACTGACGTATGCATTTTTAATAGCCTCGAACTTCAAATTTCCTAGATCCGGTACTCTGTGTGTGTGTGTGTGTGTGTGTGTGTGTGTGTGTGAGAGAGAGAGTACACGAACGCGATCAAAATATAATATTTCGATTATACCATGAATGTATTGAAACCATTCGCTTCTTGTACGAAATAATAAATAGCTCACAATATGATCACTTTACAATACATTAGGACAGCAATCATTGTATAATTTATACAGAATTAGGGAATTAGGTATACGATTAAGACCACGGTGAATTTCGTTCTCTTTATTTCACTCTGTATTTTCTGTGTATTCAAATCGGACCAGTGGTTAAACCTATAATTATGCCTATCAGTTATCAAATTCTAAACATTATTATTATTATATCCTATTATATTTCAATCTACGAGCAATTGATTAAACACATTAATAAACTAACAAATAAATAAAACTTTTAGATGAAAGCAATGTTTATCGCAACATATTAAACTCCTTAAACTTATTAAACGCATTTGGTATCAACCTATTTCATATGATTAAAAGTACAATGTTCGAAATTAATTTGATAGTTAAAATACATATTTATAATTAATTATTGAATTGCTTTTCGTACAACATGTACAATACACAGCATATGTGTACCATATTAAAATAATGCAGACAATATTTATCTGTATTATTAAAGCTTGTTGAGTTCAGTAATTCCTATACAAAGAATAAAAAGATTTTCATTACAGTATAATTAATTAAATATATGTATATATTACAGATCAATTATAATATTAATACTGATATTAGTTATATTAGACGGTTAAAGTGTAATTATTTCGTTCGTAGATTTTATAAAATTTAAAAGTGTATAAAGAAATTATAATCTACATATTAAATTTTCAATGATAACTGTATTAAAATATTGAAAGGATCACGTTTTCCGAAGTCAAAATTTCAACGTGAAATCATGTATTTTCTAGTTACTTTACGTTTAGTACAATACTTATGATTAAATTTAACATTGCATGTGTCCGATTAAAAAAAAAATATAGACGTTATAGTTGAAATAACCCTAGTATAGAATTGTTTTAAACTTCGTAGTTAAGGATTGATGTGCAGTGAAAAAGAATATATTTTAAACGGTTTTTTTATTTTTTTATATGTTTTAGCTAATGAATTCATTACGGTGTTCAATAAATTTAGATGTGTATCATATCTAATACCCAAAGTGTAATAAAATACGAATGTTCGCAGATCGTGCCACATGTATAAATGCCATTCTCATATTTTTATGTGAGAGTAATAGGAGTATGGAATACATGAAATAATAATAAAATGTTTTTTTTATTTTTTTGTTCTTTTCATATAACAGTTGTAACGTGTTTAGCTAATCGTTGGGCCGTCAGGCGCATGTTATCCTTCTAAGCATTTGTTTCATGCAATCGTCTAAACATCATTTTTATGTCATTTATAATTACGGATTTCCATTGTACGGTGTTTATAAGAAGTGTACATTTTATTAATACAGAGGTAGCGTTCATCCGTTCCCCCGAATCGTTCTCGATCTAGGATTGATCAAAAATACTCTGTCATTAAAGATTACTGATTTTATTATTTTTTGAAATACTTTTCTTTATGTTATATTAATACATTAAATTAAATTAACTTCAATTTAAAACGTCTCACGCGCCTAACGTGTTATCGGTTGAATAATAGTATACGTTTAGACACATATGTGTTCTGCTGCGGGTAAAATTCATACGATTCGCGTTTATAATATGCATTGAAATATTATCGGACGCTTGACATCGCGACACACACACACACACACACACACTCACACACAAACAAACGACATCATAATTTCTTCTTGGACCCACGAGTTCAGATAGGTCAAACCCGTTATTTTACTTAACGAACAAGTAATCGTCGTTTACATGGCCTGTACATGATATGTAAACAGGACGTTCAATATTTATTCATACTACTTATGTTCATAAGTTATGAACATTATTATTGTTCATCGACAGTCTCTAATTTATATATGAGTGTGTGTTTGTGTGTGTGGGTGCATTATCGTAATATTAGTGTGCGTGCACAGTAGGCTGTACTAATATTTTAGTGGAAATAATATTTAATTTCAGCGACATCGATTAAATACGGTCCCCTTTCTCTTTCACTTAAATTGTAGGGTCCCATTTACAACATTTCGAGGTGTGCTTGTGCACACTACCGTGCGTACGACTATGGCCCGTAACTCAAAGCCGAATTTTGGTTTTATTGTTACGTGCATTTTTTTTATAATTTCTGATTACCTTTAAATAGCGTGATCGCCGTTTTTATTATTATATTATCGATTTGTTGTAACACATGGGCGCCAATCGCCACGATTTTTTGTATCGTTGTACTTACGACCGCTATTCGCCGCAAGAAAATATTAATTATTATTATTATCGTTGGCCGTATAATATTTCAACAAGTAAATCACCATGAAATGATTTAACATCATACATTACGTGCGTTGATCGCCGTTATTGTCTTATATATCACTTCAACTCGTACGCGAATCGCCGTGGCTTTTTGTAGTACTCATTATTCTCTGTGAGTGTACGATTTTTTGAATTTTTTCGTACATTTTTGGTGTCTGCATCCGACCAGTCTGCAATCGTGAATTTTTCTTGATTTATTTCTTTACTGTCCAGCCAAAATGGCTAAATTATAATATAATTGTTAAGTTATTCAATTGCTGCGTAATTACGTATACTTTATTATTAATTATTTCCGTACCTACCAGAAATACACTGTTACCATACATAACAATATTTATCGTTTTCAAATTATTTTGAAATACCTTTTCCTAAGCTATACACGTAATACACATAGACGTATACACACGAAACACACTTAATTACCAGATAACATTTACTATACTTTATAGTGATTTGATATATTGCTATAGTATTCAATTATCTGAGCTATAAAATATAGTTGATTGGAGCATATAAAAAAAAATGAAACCAACTGTTTTTATAAAATCTTAATAACTAAACTGTTTTAGTCATTCCACCTATAAAATAGTGATTCTTACTACATTTTCCGTGACTATAAAATTGTACTAATTTTTTTCCGTGTGAGATAAACAATATTTTTGACTTTAACAACGGGTAGTTTTATTCGTGGTTGTTTTATATTTTATACAACTATTATTACTGTTACTTTTGTAATTTTTTGTTAACTAACAAATCAGCGAAGTAAAATGGATTATCGATTGCTTTAAGAGCAACTAACGTTTCAACGTCAATGAAATGTATAAAAATATTACATCAAAAAACAATTTAACATTTTATCTATTTAGTGTTCCGTATGAGGTATGAGTAATGCCAAATTCAAATGCTATTGTACAGTGTTCAAAATTAATTTCAAACAAAACAAAAAAAAATATACTTACATTACGTATTTAAAAAAATATTTAACACTATCGTTTTGGTTGTAGAATCTCTTTCAGGCTAATCATAACTTACCTTTATACACACACACATGAACACGTATTTTAGTTAATTTTTAATCAGTTTATCGTTTTTTGTGTGCATCTGAAGTTATGTAACTGGAATTGTGTAGCCGGTATGTAATTCTGCCACAGCCGTTACACAATTATCCACATAGCAAAGAGCTTTGTGTTTTGGTTTGAAATTCAAATATTTTTAACTTCTGCACTAATGATATGCTATCTTACACAAAAAAATACCTTTCAAAAATATAATTCAATGCTATCATAACAGCATTTTTGTTTAAAAATTCGCTAAAAAAATGCTCATAAAATTATTTTTTTTTCATTATATAAATTCTTATTCTCATTATATTAGTCTATTAGTCTTTTATTATATTCTTTTTATCATGCAAATGATTTCTAAAAAACGAATACTTGTACAATATATACATATAGGTTTTATTATAATTTTACATTGCGTGTCATATGAATTTAATATATGTACATGTATATATGAATTTTCATTAAGTTGTTATAAAATTTTATCTATTTACATATAAAAATAATTGAAAAACATGAAATTATATATATAAAGAAACCGTCTTATATATTTACAAAAATACAAAATAAAAGTTACAATACTATCGACCATATCAGTTTATGGACCGTAGGCGAATTGGTTCAAAAACTGTTCGGAAACACTACTGAACTGCCGCACCGGGCTTGAACCATTGATAACATAACACGACCGGACGAGGAGCAACGAAGTGACTAACTTAGGTTAGCAGTCGGCGGGCGGCTCAGTTCCGGTTCCGTGTCGCGCGAAAGCTCTTCTGTCAGCAGCCGACTCGTTTCTGTGTCACATGGCGCCTCCTCGATCAACAGTCAGCTCAGTTCCGGCGGTTCCGCTGTCGGCGGGCGGCTCGGTTCCGGTTCCGTTTCGATCCTTGGCTCGGTCCCGGTTTCGTGTCCCGTTGTGGCTGTGGCTCTGCTGTCGGCGGAGAGCTCGGTCCCGGCTCCGCGGAGGGTTTACCGGATACTCGGTGCTTCGCCCACCAAGCTTTCGAATCCTTGACTCCCATGTTGTAGCCGCGCATATACATTTTCTTGTACAACGGAGTCTCTTTGAGTTTTTCGACCGTCATTTCTCCCAAAATCATTGTGTCCGGCTCGATCGGTAAGTCAAAGTGCGGCCGTTCTTTGGGGCCGTAAACGTCTCTGTAGAGCAACATCCACCTGTCCCGCAGTTCAGCCGCTGTCAACTCCTCGGCGAGCCCTTCCATCAAGATGTCGGACGGCCGGGGTGGATTGGGTTTCTCGCGTTTGAAGTGACCGAGGAGTTTTTCAAGAGCTTCCAAACTCCTCGGAGGAAACGGCGGTCTCTTACGTCGTGCCACGTAGTCGTCGTCCATTTTCAGGGCTTCCGGATCCGGAGTAATTTTCGACACCTGCGTCGAAAAAAAAAAATAAATAAAATTAAATCAATTGTTTGAACTGTTGAAACCGATAGAGTACTCGTATTTTACGTGATAATATAATATAAATAGTTGATAACTTGTACTGTATTTTTAAGTATAGTGTATGGTCACGGAAATCGACACCGACGATTAAATTAAGTTTAGAACAATCGTCTGCAGCCCACATAAGGGCCTCAGGGTTTATCGGAATAAAAATGACAGTTAAAAATCCATTTAAGTAAAATTTGTGTGAAAACGTAACCCACTTACGATTGAAAGAGGATCCGTTTCTACATCAAAATATTCGCACGTATGCTTTGTCAGCGAAGCGTATTGTAGCGCACCGTACGCTCCGTAGTCACCCACATCGACGGTCGAAGACTGTGCCTGTGCGTCCATTTCGCTGTGAAAACTGCTCAACCGTGTTTGAAAGCGTGAACAACAATAACAGACCAACGCTGGTGACTGCTGCGTGAGACTGACGCGCGCTTGGTCCCCATGGTTTCTACTGTTGTCTTGCGCTTCATGCGTGCGTGCGTGCGTGCGCTTTACTCTGTACTCGTCGGTCACGAGTCGCGCGGTCTCGCGTTAATTGTTGGCATCATTCTCGTTAATGATAACGATTCGTGTCTTTCCGAAACGTTCCGACCGTATTCGACAGTATTCAACGCGGTATTTCACGACCGAAATATTGGCCTTGGCTACTACGGGTATGTAATAATTATGTTTGTAGATGTGTATTGTATATAATTGATAAAAGTAATTATGAGCAAAACTAAATGTCCCATCTCCAAAAACGTTTTCAGATTCACAAAGATGTTTTAAGTTTTCAGAACATGTAAACAAAATAATTTATTTTTCTCGATTGACGAAACCAAAATTGTTCATTTTTAGTTTTAATATCGACTGGAGTTTCAAACAATTGATCAAATGCTTCATTAGTAGTTGTTGGAATTTTGGAAAATATTTTTTACGAATCCTTTAAGCCGAATCTCTCAATAATTATGTCATTATGAACTATTACCTACTTAAAAACGAGATTAGTGTCTTGAATTTCCTTACGTATAATCTTATTTGGTTTTGCAAGTAAGTCTTCTTCGGCTTTCCTCTTTATAGCAGTTCTAACACACTGAACAGCTAAATTATGATCAGTAGTTGGTTCGTGATTATGTATATTATTATTTGAAAAAGATAGTATTTTATCGATTTTAAAATTCACTAAAACGCTCTCAGTATATTTTCTGTTAGTACACCGAAAACGAAAAGACCCAATACCTTTATGGAAGAAACTTTATGGGTCGATAAATAATATTTTGTATAAAAACCCTCTTTCATAGAAACCGACGAGGGTGGATTTAATTGTTTGCAGCAGCAGGTGTACACTTCTGGAATGTAATCGTTCGTGCATGCAATGTGCGCAGTTTTGGTGAACAGATGTTAAAAAAATTGTTCAAATAATTAGAAATAAAAAAAAAATACATCTTAGATCAGCAATAATAGATTACCCACTATGCGGCCCTTCAACAAATTTTGTGTAGTCCGCACTAGAACTTAAATTACATTCTACGATTTAAAATTAAATAGATTGTAATTTTATGAGTGTATACAATAACATTTATTTAATTTTATCTTATTATTGTTGTTTATTTTATTGTTTCTAGTATTATTATAATTATACTATTATAATAAATAAAATGATTTTTTTGAACCATTATTCGTAACATTATTATTATAATTACTTAATATACGATTTATACATTTTTATATTTGTTAATCATTCTCATTGAATATGTAAGCGGCCCCACGTTATTTTATAACTAATTCACATTTATCGAAAAATATAATTTACGTCAAATTAAATATAAACGAATAATTTTTCTTATATCTGATCGTCGATTGTGTTGTTAATTAGATACGACCGTGTTTTTCGGCCGCAGAAAAATAAGTAATTATATTCTCATTACTAGAGGTCAGATTAATATTCTCTTCAACTCCTTAAAAAATGATGTTTTCGTGCAGTGGTCGACTTGGAAAAACTTAAGAAAGGGGACTCGGTTACTTAAATAAAAAAGAGGAGCGTCCCCAAAACTTGTTACACGTTATGATAACGTCTTAATAGTTGGGGAACGCTAAGATTTCTGAAAATTAGTTGGGGTACGCCGTCCCCCTGCGTCCCCTCCCAAGTCAAACATTGTTTTTATGTCGTTGAAAAGAGGCAATATATTCTCTAAATATTCTTTAAAAATACTAAACTATTGATGCTTTATGTTTTTAAAAATACAAATTTTCTTCCAATAATCTTTTAAAAAAAATAATAAAAAAATATTATAATTTCTCGGTTTAATTTATCAATTAATAAATGTTACTATTAATTTGATTTACAATTATATTAAAAAAAAAAAAAAAAATTGATTTTAAAGCGAATTTCAACCATACGCGGATTACCGCATAATTTTTATAACAATCTAGAATAATATAAAAAAATAACTCACAATTTGAATATTATATTTGTTGATCAATATTATCAAAATGCCGATGTACGTAACACGTACATAGATGTGCAGACGAATAATAGGTAACATTAATTATTTTCTTCGAATAAAATCTTTACAAAAATAAAACATTCAAAAATAAAAATGTCTATAAAATATTCTCCTACGCATTGAATATTCCCTAATTCCGAACCTGGACGACTGATAACACAAGTTAATATTGATACTTCTTCAAGTAAGGGAATTTCAAATTTACATATAACTTATTATTTAAATTAATAAATTAACCATTTGTTCAATTGTTTTCGAAGTTGTACTATATTTTATTATAATTTTTTTAAGCTATTAATAATATAATAAAAAATTTTTAAATCAGGATTGATTTAAAAAAAATTATTCGAATGGAATCAGTTTTATATGATTTTTTTAGGAAATATAATTCGATTTGTATCGAACTATATTAATTAACGAATAGTATTTAGATGCTATTTATATATTTTTACGTTTTTCCAATTCTTTTGCATGCTAAATGTTGACTGCTTTTGCATATTGTCATTATGTTAATTTACTGTACTTATCGGGCTCACCGCCAGTTGTATGTGATACGAATTGAAACTAATTAATAAACACCATCGGAGAACTGAGCCGGATATTACGATCACATCGCCACCCGCGCATTATTACGTGCGCGTTGTACGACAGGGCAATCGATGATCGTAAAAAGTACGGGAAGGATAGTCGTTCATGGCTGACGAGGGGGATCCGGGCTAGCAGATGACTGGGACTCATCCGCGTGTACCAGGGTTCCAGCGTACGTGGACGATTTACTACCGTTAGTCGGCTCTCGAACATTGATCGATCGTTTAATGATTTATAATTCAGCACGTGTACAAATAGTGCGAACCATGTTGTACTGCAACATATGTCCGTCAAGTTGGCACCGGTACATTATGCTAGAGTTATGTAAATGGTATCAAAAAATTTGTTAGGAATTTGCTAGATTTTTCTAGGGCGTTTTTGGATTTTGCTAGGGCCCCTAAACTTTGATAATCCGCAAACAAACATGCCGGTGCTATCTTTGTGGGCGCACCGGCACTATGTTCGATTTAAAAAAAAAATATGTCAAATTATTCAATTGAATTTGCTACATTTTGCTAGGGCATTTTTGAAATTTGCTATTAGGTTTAAATCGGGGTACACATTTTTAAATATTTCTACTTGGCTTGGAGCTTTTAAAAATATCTTTTTGACTGTAGATATTAATTTACCTACTTTTATGAATTTTGATCGTATGGTTTCTGCTATTCCGTACTAAACACGTTAAATGGATTATTTTG